TTAAGGCAAAATGGTCACGCAGGTTAAAACTAGATGGAATTTAGGGTCTCATGATTATTAACAGATTATTCAGGCACGTTATCACGTGTCAAATCTCAGGGGAATCCTGGGCGGCTGAGTTGGTTAAGGACTGGACGCGGGGCTCGAAAGTTAGAAGACAAATCCCAGTGGGTCCATTTAAGCCTTCACCTTTAATGTAATAAGTACCACGTCTAAAAATATCCCTTGGAGAAGAAAGCAAACCATGTTTCACTGGAAAAACCTGGTTCCATCGGAGACCCTGCTCTGGACAGATCTGCACTAATCCAAACTTTGAGGGGGAGGCGGAACAGTGGGGAGAGGGGGAGGGAAGTGGAGACATATCCTTTACAAAATCGCAGCATTTGACAAACCATTACGTCAAGGTTGGTCAAACAACAGAACTCGACAGAATGCATTACACTGAAATCAGTTATATTGAAAAAAAGCCCTGCTCTGCCACTTACCGTGATATCATGGAAGTGGCAATGCAGATGTTCCAGCTGTTGGCTGCCGACCGGGGAACGAGCTCTTTAATCAGCACATACACGCTAACTTTAATTCTGATTTTGTTTCCCACCCCGCTCCCTCATCCATCAAGGTGGAGACGGACAGTGCCAGTCACTTTCCTGTGTTGCTATCTGATGCACTGACAAGCTACCCATTGGCCACAGGCAAGGATGACAGCTGGGTTCATTTTTACTCTTGACTTAAAAGGTCTTTTTTGGCGTCGTGTTGAAGTGTTGTCTGACCAAGAACGACGTATTGGTCAGGCTCGCCTGGGGCAGCAGTCAGCCCTCGGACACAAACCTCTGCTCACTCCCATTCCCCCAAACGCAAGGTTAACCAAGCACCTCAACAGCTACTCCAGTGACCCCAATACACAAATGGTTTTGAAAGCAAAAGTGCTCATTTGATGTTCTGATACCACGGGGACTTGCCACTCACTCTCCTCTGCCCCCAGGACAAGACAAGATTGCCTGCCTGCCTCAGCTGGGTCATGTCTCTTCCTGCATCGCTTAAGGATGTTTCACAGTGGGTCAAACAAGGAGAAACATCGACACAGTCAAGGGAGATGTCTGCGAGCTTTCCCACCCTCCTGACTGTGGCTTACAGCAGAGCTATATGGGGCTAACGTGGGAAAGGGGACTGGAGAGGGCAGTGGGGGTGGAGGGGGGAATAAGAAAGAAAGAGGGAAGAGGATCATGATTGAAAGCCAGTAGCGAATAAAAACTGAACTGTTCTTTTAGTTCATGGATTCTAACAAATGTCTTCACAGTAATTAAAAGCTAAACTCCTTGATGTTATCAATCAACATTGAACTGTAGTAAAGGTGCTCTATAAATAATAATAATATAAATGTAATTTTGTTGTTGTATGACAGGCATCTATCTACCTGTGAGTGTTCAGTCTGATAGCAATGTACAACATTCAGTACATCTCCCTACAAACACAGGTGCACACAACTACACATACTTTTTTTTTGTGTGTGTGTGTGTGTGTGCATGGAGGGGAGGGTTAAAGCATTACGTTTTTTTTGACAAAGCCTGGCACAAAGAAATTCAATGTTGATAAACATTGATTTGAAAGCAACACGTGTGAGCTCAGCTGAGAGCCGAAATCATGCGCTTTGGTGGGTTAATTTTGTGTGTTTTTTCTCCACCCACCCCCCCCCCTCCAAAAAAAAAAAATCACGACCGCCGTCCCCATCTCTCAGCACAAGCGCAGAAAAAAAAAGCCTCCGTGCAAATGGAGATGAATGGGAACCCAGGCCACCGAGGTAATTAAAAATGTATTTTCCATCTCCTAGTAATTGAATTGTGTACAAGCTACAAGTTAATGAGGTCATCTACCCTCAAGCACCGACAGGAAACCAGGAATAATTATCTCTCAATTTTTCCTTATGTAGCAATTAATTTTAACCATTCCGCCCCACCCCCTCCCCCACTTCCCCAGCCCCAGTCAGTCAAAGGCACGGCTAAGCCAAATTGACAAGCGATTGATACGGCAGCAGCACTGAGCTGCCGAGATGCACAAGGCAATCAAGGGGGTCCAGCTGTTGTAGGCAAAGTGGTTCCAGGTGAACGTCGCCTGGGATTTCGCATCCTGCCACTCCGAGGACGAGGGATCTGCAGGAGTTGCTGTTAGCACATCTGGTGCCAGGTGGGCAGGAAGAGGGACAGCACCAACCCTGTGCAGCCAGGAGTTCAGAACAGAAGGGTGGACATGGCTAGGTGCGGGAGGAGAAATAGCCAAGACAAAGGAAGAGGAGGGAGGGATGGGGAGGGAGAGGGGTGGGCAGCTGTCAAAGGTCCTCAGTTCGTTTCACCTTCTGCTTGGTTTATGATAACTCAGGCAGATATCTTGTTGCTTTAATAAAAACTTCCCTTCTGTTTTGTCAGTTTGAGAAAGCTCTTCCGTGGCATTTCTAATTATATCACAGTCCATGCCCGGTACCTTCCTGACATCATCATCATCTGGTGCCATCATTCCCAATCTCTCCCAAAGCGTCTGATGGCTGCTACCAGGAAGTGGAGGGCAGACACTTGGAAATGTGTTCTTATCACGCAAGTGACATAACAAATCAATGAGTTTCCCCACTGCACACATGCACACGCACACACTTTGCAATTTACTCCCCCAACTCACTCAATTCATCCGATTCAACCATTCAGACCACACAGGTTCCAGAGGCCTGAAGTTCCACCTAGTTTTAGCCTGTAAGACCATTTATTTTGCTCCTCCGCCGTGCACCCTTTCTTCCCCATCTTTAGTTCGCGCCTGAAGACCTTCCTCCTTCCTCTTCGAACGTGCCTATGATCACCTCCCCCTCCCCCTGGCTCGGCGTTGTGCTCTGCCACTGTCAAGCGCTCTGGGGCACTACCCGCACCCCCCCCCCCCCGTGAGGGACAATATATAAATGCTAATTGTTGTTGTTGTTGTTAATCAAGATTGCTAAAATGCATTGTGTGTGCTGAGGAAAGTGAGATGATTGGATGAAGTAGACTGTCTAAATGGCTGCTCATCATAATCCCCCTTTAATTTCAGTGGAACAATGAGTCTGTTGATTGTGATCTGAATTAAATGAGATCCCGAAAGGAAAGCACATCCTAAAAGACCCGTGACCTTTGGACTTGATTTTCACACTCTGTGTAAATTGACAAGTTGAATTCCCTTGCATTATTTTTATTAAATTAGGAGAACAGCTACATCTCTATTCAGTCCTCTCTCTTCTCGATCCTCTCTCCTGTGACGCTCCAATCTCTAAAGCGAGCGTGAAATAGCCTAACCTTGCTTACGGTAATCATAATGAAATACACTCGGAGAAACAGCATCATTCCTGGAAACTGTGCAACCCCATGAACATTATTAAAGTATTTATTGAGCCAACAACCCAGGAGGAAAAATTCTCTACAGTAATTAAGACTGATGTGCATTCATCCCTGATGTTTAGGAAAATAATAGCATAGAAATCCCATTCTGTTTCACTTTTGTGGTCAATAAATTTGATTTGAAATAGGTAGAAGGCGCAATAAATTTAACAAATGAGTTATAAATGTCTCATTATGCAAAAAAAAAAGCCTCCGACTCAGCTTCATGTACATTGAGATGAGCTCGGAGCTAATGAATTAAGCAAACGAGTAAGTGAAGCCACTAGAGAAATGGAATGGAACCAGGGCCAGACCCAACATAGGACCACTTTCCACTGCAAAATCAATGGGTCATTTTACGTTTCCTACACATTCTACGTGAGGAAATCCTTTACAAGTCAGAATGCTTTCAAACAATTTTTGTCCAACCAGAGATCACTTTAACTAGGCAAGTATCTCATTGAACTGACACTGGTGGCTGTAGGAAACAGAGAGACGCTGGGAATAACAGGACCAAAACCTAACCTACACTTCAGCCTAATATGGCAACTTCTCTCTCATTCTGTCAGTTTTATAGAATTCTATATATATATATGTATTAAACAAAACAAATACTGTGTAATTTTTCGCAACTGTTACTCAGCTTCCCAAAGAGTTCCGTTCATTTCCAATGTTATGATCATTTGTGTCTTAAGGCAAAGATCAAAATAATGTTGAATTCTTTATTTTAAAAAAAAGCCAATAAATCTTTTCTGGTACAGTAGCATTGAATTCAAAGTGTGCAAAATGTGCTTTTATTCAAAGACTCCCAACAAATCAGATTCAACATCATTTGCACCAACGTAGCAAAATACATTTATTCCCAGTTGATTGATTCCTGCGTTTTGTTTGGTTTGCTGATGGCTTTTCACTGTGCTGGACAGCAACTGTTTCTCATTTGGGCCGAGTTATAAAAATGTCTGAATTGCTTGCTGTTGTTTACCAACATATCTCCCTCTCTTTCTGCAACGAACCCCACAGTACAAATGAGCTCCATTCAGAGTAAGAACACTCGGAGCCACATGCCTCAACAGCAGAGACAGTGTTAAGTTTCCCCGTTTGAAGGCAAGACAGATGTTGGAAACGGGCTTAGTGAACCTGTGTGAAGGAAGTTAGGCCCGACTTAGACTTCAACCATTTCTGATGCAAACACCTAGGCCACAGCTATCTGACAGCTGTTCTAAACTCTTCATCATGATCAGAAACAATCAGCATGCATTAGAGGGTAGTATTCCCTTTACAAAGGTGATAATTAGATAACAAGCTGAGATTAAAGTAATTACAGTTAGACAGCTGGCAAGGCTGCATTGCCATGTTGTAATATTGTTGATCCTTCAGCATCTGGTTTTAATAACGGTACAGGCAAGAGGACTTTACATTAATTACACCAAATAATTTATTATAAACACATTTAATTACAACCGATAAGAGATAAACTGTTCAAAGGATTTTAACCCTTCTACGCCACCGATAGCAATAAAGCCTGTANTTTTTTTTGCCACGTTAAACCCCGGCTCTGGCGTCATTAGCTGGAGATACATGTGAGGAGCAGAAACAGTAGGGTTCCCTTACCTGAGAAGATAGTGGTTGATTAAGGTATCAAAGTACCCGTGGTACACTGCGTTGTTTACATGGCCATATGCGTCATTGTCCTGCCAACGGGTCTGAATAGGCAAAAAGTAGCAATAGATTCCTCGCTGCCTGAAGATATCCTCACCATCTGAAGTTTGGGCTGTGCCGACAGAACGTCTCACGATGATACCAAAGGACCTCAGTGCTTTCAGCCCCATTGTGGATCTCCCCAGGCAAACTGAATCCTGCAGAATTGCAAATTTTCCATTAGCAGAATCCCAAACCATTATCTATAATCAAAATAAATAATCCTTGCATTTGATACAGAACCTTATCACGTCTTCGAGACATCTCCAAGCGCTTCACAGAATATGCTGCTAAATGAACTGACTCTAATATATTGCGGGTGAAATGTGGCAGCCAATTGTGCACTGCAGTGTCCAACAAACAGTTGTTACTATTATTTTATTTGAAGAGATTATTATTATCCCTACAGGCGGTCAACTTGGCTGTGAATGCCTTAGTAAAACTTTCCACTGTTTAAGATTAAAATAGTGAATACCTTCAAGGAAATTTCCACAGTTTACTTAGAATTTACCAAGAGAACCTCTGCTCAGTACTTGATTGTTTTTCCTACATCGATTCAATGCAATTTGAGTCAACCCAACACAAACTGTATAGTATAACTTTGTTACAAGAGGCTGGCCCTTACGAATTTACAGCACTGTGGTTCAATGAGCAACATTTAATCCCCCCATCCACTCTCAAACCAATAGAGAAGATGATTCCTTTTCCCAAATAAAATGCTCTGCCCTCAATTCTTAACGCCACATATGCTGCAGAACAACACAACCCGAGACACTATAAACTTTCACTCTTAACAGAACCATAATGGATACTAATAAAGGATGGATATTAATGAATAAGGCTTTCCTCAATGGCTTTCCTGTAGCAGTTTTTATGTGAGAATAAACCCTGGTGTGAGACATTATTGAAAGTACTTCATGATATCGCTATTTTTGCAACTCATCAATTTGGATAATGTAAGCCATCAGGGACCATTTTCACTGGGAGACCTGTCCTCCATGAAGCAACACTGCAAGAGAAGGCAAAATGTTGTCACCCGCACAGTGAAAAATAATTCTGGGGAGTTGAAAGATGAATTCTTCCACGTTGGAATTACACAGAGCCCAGAACCCAGTCCTGGAGGCCACAGTTTGTGATTGAATTACTGAGATGCCTGATTCTTAAAAATCGAGTTTAAAAGACAATCAGGGAAAACGGGATCCACTTGACACAAATCACTAAAAATAACATTTTCCACCATAACAGGTTCCCAATTGTAAAGATGGATGATAATATTGCTATTTTTAAGTGATCGGGGCAAGATGTGGCTATTATTTAACAAGGCTCCTGTTTTGATCAAGACGACACATGCTAACACTTAAGCTGACGAAAGTAGCTGCAATGAACAATGTGACCTAGTTAACGTTGTACCACTTCTGCCTTCTGTCCTGTGGTTTCTTAGTGCACTTACAGTACACAGTATTAATTCATCAGTTATCAAAGTCATTCGTGTACACTTACAATGGACATTAATGAATGAGTGTTTGCAACCCAGATTCCCAGATAAAACACCGAGCATCGAGGCTAGCATTCCCCATGCACCCTTTGATGGATTTGAAAGTGCATTCAAAGAGGTGGCAAGCTGGCAGCGTACCTAGTAGCTGAGAAAGGATAATATTCAAGGATAGCAATTGTACGTGTTTTTAAGGAAGGTTGAGGGGATTTGGAATAACTGGTTCATCTCAACATACAAAGCTCCTTATTGATCACACAGTACACATCTATCCTCAAATCCCCAGGAGAAGTGAAGACAGAAAGTTCAAGTGATGAGAGAACCTATGATTTGTCTTTAAAATGTTTCACCCACACAATCTAAATGTTAACTTCTGACAACTATAATTTTGGCACTAATAGTTTACACAATATAGTCACACTGACCACTTCCAAACCATTTGTGCACAGGACCTTCCGAATAGACTAAGAAATAATGATTCTTACATTTCATGTAGCGCCTTATCACGGTGTCGAAACATCTCAAAGCGTTTCACAGGATTTAAAATCTAGTGACTGTGTGTTGTGGGGCGAATGAACAACAACAACAACGAATTACAATTACATTGTTACCGGACGGAATCTCCTTGCTTAAAAAAATGCCTTTTGAAACGGGCACGTTTGAACCTCAAGACTAAAATGCTATCATCGAGTCATAAGCAAACAGTTGAGAAATATTTTTGAAAAAAATATCACTGTTATAAGACGTTAAACCTCCGCAGTCACTTTCCGTTCAGATTCAATGCCGAGGCTCAGACACAGCAACACGTTCAGGCCAAAGGTGTAAAGTCAACGGGATTCAATTTTACTAATTATCTCTCGATTTGCGTTTACAACACAGACGCAAAGCAGAATCAGCCGGGACGTGCTGCTCTGACAAATCAATCAGACTTAAACATCATTCAGATAAACAAAACAGGAATATAGATGTCAGCTTCCAGTCTCGGAAAAGCTGGAGGGAAAATAGAATTTGGATCGCCACCAAGTCTCCCCACTAGAGACACGAGCCCATCTGCTGAGCTTTGCATCTGAACTTTAACTACCATTCAAAATCCATCTCCACAGAGATCAATTCACAAAGCAAACAGATGGACCCCTGCCTCCCTGTGCCTCTGTGTTATTTGTTTAATAAATTTAATTAATATCCAACTACAGTGGATTGTTCCCAGAATAGTGCGTGCCTCTCTGAAGCCCACACGATGACTGATTTCCCATAAAAGACTGGATAACAGTGCCCTGGGGTCATTTCCAGATTAAAAGTGCCATGTGTTTACATAGTTTCAAATGTATTAATCTTCACAGAACACAGATTTTACTCAGACCTTTTACATTAAGGAAACCGCACACCTCGAAAACCACACAGAAGGGCCACTTTATCCAACCACGCATTTTTACAAACTGCACTTTCTGCCATTTCCCCTTCTCAACTGAAATTACTGACAAATCTTTGTGGATTTTCCGGGTTAACTAGCACATGAACCCTTTGGGCACCCTTGATAATTAGACTGCTTGATATTAATGTCAAGGTTGTCAACCTTTTAGTTTGAAAGAAGCTTAAAATGGTACATTTCCCCAAGATGACAGACAACCTTCACATGCAGGTCAGTCAGGATACCAACTCCCTCCTTTATACAATTAGAATAATAATCCTTGCTTTTGATATAGCACCTTATCACATTGTTGTGAAGTGTAGTGACTGTACATTTTAAGCAACAAATGTTACTGTGAGAGTATTCCAGTCCTCTTCAATTCTGGCACTTCCCCGAGAAGTCCCGAGAGACTACAATAAATTTACAGAAACTCAAAAGATTCATTGGCCGCCAGTCAACACCCAAATTAAGCAATTGCCTAATACGTGAATGTTTTATCTGTTGTATAAGCCAAACCACCTTCACCAAATACTTCCCATCCCAACCTCTGAATAGAATCCTCTTCGACCGTGCTTTCGATCTCCCCGCTTCCCCCTTTGCCCTCCACACTCCCCCACCCCGACCCCCAGCTCGGGTCTGCAACTCTGTCTGTACAATGCCTTGGGACGTCCTCCCAACGTGAAAGGCACTTTACAAATGTAATTTTGCTGTTGTTGTTGTAGGATCAGGTTAGCTGCTAACTTCTAACAGTAAACACTGTCCCCAGGTTACAATTACTTGCTGTGTCTTCCTTCATAAGCAAACTGAAGGAACAGAGGGTTAGGTGAGCAAAGATAAGGCACTATTAACACTCGGAGAACACAGTAACAATGCAAACAGCACCGAGCCACCCTCAACGTCTTATCAATGCGTGTTACCAATAGTTATTCTGGCTTTTCTGTCTAAGGAGCGTTTAATATTTTCACATGTCACATGACAGTCCTGGATATTGCTAAAATTTAAATTCAAGTCTGCGAATGATTTCAAACCATCTGTCTGCAATTACTTGGAATTCAACGTTTCAATATTTTAACAAACTTTCACTTGCAAATCACCAGAACGGGTTGTAAAGTATTAGTGCCATCAGTAACAGTGAACGTCAGAGTTACACTACTAAAAAAAAAGAGGTAAAGTAATATAATAATGCTTCATAAGTCCATGCTTCAGATAACACTCAGTAATACTGAGCCTTTATAAGTGCTCAGTTGAAACTACCCAGGCTTTCTCTTTGGGGTGGGGGTGAGGATTAAACACACAATCAAATTCCATCGTTAAACCGTAAGACAATGTGACTTTAAAAACTGCTGATGCTCCAGACAAAATGAAGGGGCTCCAATTGGCTGACAGACATATTTATTAGCCTGGGGTCAGGTTTTTCTGGATTGGATTCAGCGCTCCAGTGTTAGTGTACTCTCCCGTGAATAGTACGGCAGTTACAATGCTCACTGAGAAGTAATGACCTGTTTTACATTTTATAAGGTGCACCATTCAATAATCCGCATTACACGTTAGTTATCTCGTCTGATGAAACCAATGTGGCAGCATTTGTTATCACTGCATTTCACATGCAACAACAACAATAACAAATTACATTTGTATAGCGCCTTTCATGTCAGGAGGACGTCCCAGCGTGAATGGAGATGTAACTTTCTTACTTGGGGGTACTGAATACAGCAGAGGTTGAAATACCATAACAAGTTAAAGACAATAGTTCTGAAGGCCACAAGAATTTAATAAAGCCTTGTCCTTCCTCCTCATGTCACCTGTACTGTCTCATCCTTTGTAAGCAAACTGAAGGAACAGAGGGTAAGTGAGCATAAATGAGGCATCATTAACAGCCAGAGAACATCCTAACTCAGGGTTTAACCTGCCCATTAGCCAATTACCTCTGTGAGATGCATTTGTTTTCATGTCAACCAAATTGCTAACTCAAATCAGCAAAAAAAAACTGTTTCCCTCCTCTCTCTATCTATCCAACCCCAGCAAAATTAGTTGAACTAAATCTTTTCTCTGGTCGGTGCAGTAGAGGAACTACAACTGTTTGATGAGGGTTTAAATCAACGGCAGTCATTTCAAAAATGCATATAAATCCTGTTTCCCCTTCCAGTTCTAGACATTAATCCTTGCCATCTGAAATCGCTAAATCTGGTGACTGATGCCCAGGTTACATATTCATTTCATCGTTACAATCACTTTCATATGATGCCTGTTGCTGAGACTGGTAGCAATCAAAAGTACAGCTACGTAAATCCCCTGACTGCTCCGACCAACTCCCAGGTTCATTATTTTGCATGACTACCTCTAAAACATTGGCAACGGTCGGACTTTATGACGATGCCATTGAGGTACTGGATTACACGCTTGCAAACTGGGATGTTCTGTTGCACTATTTCCTCATTCACGAACCAGACTGTCTTTCACTGCCAACAGTGTCAATTGACAAGGTGCAATCGAGTGTCAATCAGCTTGGGGGTGGGAGATTGTACTTGCAATATAGTGCACGCCCAGCACTGGGTAGGAGTAACATCTTAAGCTATATGACTATTAACTAGAAACGTAAGCATTTAGAATACTGTTTTAATTATACTGTTTTCTTTTTGCTGAAGATTGACTTGGTCTCACTTTTACTTCTCCAATCAAGAAATGCTCCCACCAGACCAGAGTATCCATTGCCAGTTACCAGACTAATCCCAACGGATAAGTTAACTTGTCTGTGCTCCAAAAGCTTTATGCCGGTTTCCATCTGCAAGTGCAGCACTGAATGTCTTAGCATCAGACCAGCTTATTGCTAAGTGTAGTGACTTTGGCAATGTATGTTAATAGTGGGATTTCCCATTCCAAGCACGTATTGGCAAAGTGGCTGCATTTAGCAAGTTAAATCTTACCCCATGCGCTTTCAGCAACAGTTTTAGAGTATACTGCAATCATCAGGTCAGCAGTACAGTAAATGTTGAGGCTGTCGCTGGTCTCAGTGTTGTATTGACCAGCCAGTTCAGTAATTCAATACTTTATAATGGATGCTATGGCCTTAGCAAATTTGTTTGAAAAGAACGTGATTGAAAGCACATGGGGTGCACGTTAATTGGGTCCTGCGCAGCTGTGAGATACAGTGACAACAATAAAGAGAAAAATAGCACAGACCTAAATATAGGTTAATGGTGTCCCGGAGGAACATTTGTTCGACCTAGATGTAGGCTCTTGCTGGTGAGAGGGTTAGTGCTTTTAAAAAGAAACCCATAAACACACAGACTTGTGATCCTCAAAAGGCATCAAATCTGGAAACAAAATATAAAGAGAAATTATAGTGGAATCGATTGTGTTTAAATACACAAAGTGGGATACTTTTAAATCGAACAGATATAAAACAGATATGCCTCTGCATTCAGCACAATGTGAAGATTTGAGCCTCAGAATATGTCTACAATGATAGAGTAAAAGACACAGAGCTCTCATTTGTGACTCTTCTTAATGCAATTGCTTGGAATTCCATGGGTTAATGTGTCGTACTTCTGGTTACTGGAAGAGATCTCAACTTAGGCAATTCAGATTCCGTCTGAAGGAATAAAAACATACTGCAAATTAGACAATACTATACTCCACTCTGGTGTCAGGAGGGTTGCCTTGCCCATGAAGCACGCTATATAAATGCAAGTTGTTGTTGATGTATGTAATTCTATGTAAAAATCTATGGAACACAGAGACAAAGAATCATATCTGAAGTTTGTACAATATATTTGTAATCCCAAGACTTTCCTTCACACTTTCTACTGTGCGCAATTGGCTGCCGCATTTTGCCCACAGATTATACTGTCAATTCACTTAACAGTATATTCTGTGAAGCGCTTTGAGACGTCTCGACGAGGTGATAAGGCACTATATCAAATGCAAGGATTATTATATTGTATATTAAAGTTCAGGAGAAGAAATATTAAAAAATGATATTTACTACTCTTCTCCCCTCAAGGAACCTTCTAACTTATATTGTTATACACGGTGAACCTTGTCAAATTGGCAATGATTCGTATGGGAGCTCGGACAGTGAGCGTTGGCAAGCTATGCGCACGTTGTTACCGAGCCCCAATCTTATCCACAAGTGATGTACACACAGTCGACCAGGAGGCGGCACTAGGATGTCTGACACAGGCAGCAGACCAAAAAAATACATCCAGTGTCCCCTCCTGGTCAACTGTGGTTATTTCACATAGTGATATCAGCAGCGCGGTAGGTATTAATAGAACCTCAGGCGTTTGCACATATTAAAGCCAAATGCAGAGCCACCCTGAGCGGCACGAGTAAACTCAGCACTGACAGGGAATCAAACACCAGACTGCCCCAGCTTGTACAACACAGCTCCTCGCTCAATGAACTCCCAAAGCCAACAGGGGAGCGTTGTCGAAGGGTTTTATATCAATACTCTATGGATGTATAAATAAGTGTTTTACCCACAACAGCACAGCCTGGTGCAGAACTTGTCGATATGTCCAAGGTTGCCTTTCTGCAATCAGTTATACAGCGTCGTACTGCATACAGGGTCGTGCTGTAAAGCTTCAGCAGCAAGGACCAACCTGGCGCAAATACGCACAGTGATGATGATGTGAAACTAAATGGCACAACAGAATATCAGTAGCACTGCTGGCCTCCAAGGGAACGTTCTTCACACTGCACGTCCCTCACCAACGACTCGTTAAAGTCAGTCATAGAGCACCACCAGCAGGAAATGATTTGAAATACACAAAGGAGGAAATCAGCTGATCTGCCGAGCAAGGCAAGCTGCTTCAAATAATCGTAATAATCCTGGCGTTTGATACACCGCTCATAACGCTGGGAGGAGGACTCAAAGAGCTTCACATGTAATTGTAGTCAATTTGAGTGACTGTATTGATAGGCAGATGTGGCAGCCAATTTGCGTAAAGCAATGTCCCGAACAGCCATGAAGTGAATGACCAATTTTTATCTGGGGAATTGTTGGTTGTGACACCAGGAGAAACTGCTTTCTCTTTTGTGATACACGAGTACCATGGGATCTTTAGCAAGCACCTGAACAGGCAAACGGGGGCTTGGTTTTTAACGTCTTGTCTGAAGGCTGGAATGCAATAAATTGGAAGTGTAATTGCCACCACAATGCAATAAGCCGTGTGTAAATTTTAGAAGGAGGAGTTTTATTACAAAACATTATTTTACAGAATGCTGCAGTAGAACTTGTGGTAGAAGAAAAGGAAATAATTAAATAAAATTAATAATCCCAGCATTTGCCATTATGCCTTACACATATGTTGTTGAAACGTCTCAAATTTCTTCACAGGATTTTTTTTAACTGTGAAGTGCAGCAACTACATATTTTTGCCAAAAAGATGGGTGTTTATTGAATTTCTATATCTTCATATGGAATGGGACAAAAACTAACACAGATTTGATGCAAGGATGTGCAAGTGTACCATTGTAAAAATAGCTCGTGATTTTATCCTACAGTGCATTAGTTTCGGCCTCGTGACAAAATTGACTTCACGTTGGGGTGATGTGTACTAGGTCCCTCAATAAGCAACCTCATAAGGAAGGGACTGTTCCCAGTAGCCCAATGTATGTCATGCAAGTCATGCCGACGTATTATCACTGGTGATGCTTATCACATCACCCCTTTTTTCACCCGTAAATGCGCTATAAATGCATGAGAATTTCATCATTGACCACCTGGGCTTATCACACACATCAAGCTTTAGAAAGCTGCAAGTCCAATGACATACTCACCTAAGTTAACATTTACTCCTTTCATCTTATTCCAAGGGAACATTTTTTCCAGCTCTTTACAATCCCCAAAAAACTTTGGCATGGTTACTAATCACTAAAAGTGACCCAAAGGTAAGCCATATTTCAAATTAATGGGTTTCCCTAGCAGCATGTTGACCATTGCTTCGTCCGCACTTTTGATCCGTCACCTTGTTCGAGATCATCCTTTATCTTAATGTTTACCACCACCATTAATAAATAAGAAAAACGTCAAAATAATTAGCCTCTCACCTACACAAACAATGGTGGTCACATTTTAATCGACCACCAGTGACACACTGTTTTCCAAAGTATAATTGATGTTAATGTGTAACTGAGACCGGTTGTCACTTCCCACCCCCCTCCCCCCCCAATCCATTACTTTCCCGTGCCTGGCATTGCAACAGTGAGCTGAGGTGTTGCAGGCTACAATGATGGAATATTCAAATGCTAAGGTCCATCGCTTTACATCATCAATCTGAGACCTGTGTGAACAAGGTCTCCCCTGGCCCCACTTGCATTCCTCATAGTTAGCCACTGGTGACCAGAGGCTAAAGAGGGTGAGTTGCTTACACTCTCTGCACTATGCAGCAATTTCTCTTTGCTGGATTTCAATCTTCACATCCTACATGGAAACATAATAATAATAATCCTTGCGTTTGATATAGCGCTTTATCACATTGTCGAGACGTCTTAAAGCGCTGCACAGAATGTATGGTACAGTGCAGTGACTGTGTATTTTGTGGGCAAAACGAGGCAGCCAATTGCGCACAGCAGGGTCCCACAAACAGTCGTGGATTGGGTGCACACATTTTTATTTTGGATGGGAGGGATTATTACCTGCACAGAAAGTGATCAACATGCTCCATACAAGAAATTATTTACTGCAAAACTGAAGGGAACGCAACTTTGAGCGTTTGAGACATGCTATCTATCCTCATTCGCCCACACAAAAAAATAAGCCTACATTTTTCTCTTTCCAGTAAAATGGATTACTGCACTGTATTTGCTTTGCTTAAAAAGGTCCAGTTCCCTTGATGAACACATCCATTAAAACATGTAAGTCTGCAAAGCAAGGTTTTCCCACAGCACAGCATAGAGGTTCAGGTCACAGAGGATCATGCATGCATGTTATACTCAAGTACATGATTAAATTTACATGAAAATATTTCTCTTATGAACGATGGTGTACCATTCCTGTGGCTTTTGACCCTGTGGAATAAAATAAATCGACCCCGCAGATAATCACTGGGCCCAAAGCTACTTTCAACATCTTTAGCTGCCATGCTGGAAATCCTTTAAATAATATTCTCAGTTACAGTTCAGAAATAAAGCAGAGTGTCTACTGTTGCTCTCAAAGCCAGTTAGAAACATTTAACTCGGTGACTGAATGATGCTTTACAATCGGAAGCTACACTTTCAGCCACTATGCCTCAAAGCTTTGGAACTCTCTCCCACAATCCCTCCGCCTTGCCCACTCCTTCAGATCCCGACTGAAGAACTTCCTCTTCGACCGTGCTTAACCTCCTCCCTCCCTCCGGCTCCAGATCAAGCTCCGAGACACTGCCCTGTGTAATGGGCGCTTCAAGTTGTTGTTGTACATTAAGATAACTTTGTTGGTGTCAGAGTTCCTTAGATTGCACTAAGGAAGGACTGGATTTGTGCACTTTCTGTGCTGGCAGCAAGTCTCCTACATGAGTAAATCTGGGATTAGCTCAACTCAGTTGCTAATAAACACAGCTACACATCATTAATCTGCCTGTAATTTGCCACTAATTGACAAAACTGAATCAAAGAGGATGGGTTGCATGAGAACAGGGAAGCTGGTGCAGTCAAGGATATTCTTCTGAAGTTGGAAGACACAGAAGTGAATAGGAAGTGATTTGGTCCATTGGAATTGTACACTTGGATCAGGAATCAAGATAATTAGAGCCAACTGCATACACCATCAAAAAGTACTTATTCTGTCAAGTTATATCAGACATATAGGAGAAATGGTTTAGTATTACCGGTTTATAATTTTTGGGCAATTCGCCTTCTGGAAATAATCTGTCATTTTGTCTCTCAGATGTGTTTCACTTGTATCTTCAGCCCTCGTTTTTACCAGTAGACATAGGCAAGTTGGACATCTTTCCTTCAAGTTTGGGCCAAGTCCTGGCTGAGCCTCGCTCTCTGAGCCAGAGCTCAATCTGAATCAAATTAAACATCTGGAAATCACTATGTTTTCTTCTTTATAAACACTGAAGCACACAGCAGAAACAATGCTGCACGCATAACAGCTCTGCTTTCCGGGTCCAATTCCCGGCAGGGCAAAACCTTAGGCCAGTTTCCTTACTCCACATGTCTCTGTTTACCTAGCAGTAAGTCAGGTTATTACCCGCTTTTCTGGGGTTAATAATCACTTCAAAAATAAATAAACAAAAATAATAATAATAATTTGGTCACTCAATCCACGACTGTTTGTGGGATGCTGCTGAGCACAATTGGCTGCTGTGTTTCACCCACAAAATATACAGTCAATTCACTTTACATTATATTCTGTGAAGCGCCTTGAGATGTCTCAAAGACATGATAAGGTGCTATATCAAATGGAAGGAACATTGGTAGTAGTATAGAAACAGATGCACCTCTGCTAGAGGAAAGCCCTGTGAAAATGACAATCTCAAAGTACGCAAGGAAATCAAGGACCAAAGCCTGATTCCCATGCCCCTAGAATCATACCTCCCTACAGAAACAACACTGACTTTTAGCCTGAACTAGCTCTCTCTGAGCTCCACCCCCCTAACCCACCCTTTTCCCCCAATATTGAAGGTGTTGAACTTGAACACATAGAAAATGCAGGGAGAACCTAGGAGCAACAAAGAAATAAAAGCAGAGTAATACACTGGGCCCAGTGGAGTTCAATACATGTCTGAAAAGAATGACAATTTCAAAAAGACGAGTTGCTAACTTATTGCAATCCACGAAATCAACATTAGAGGGCACAGCTGTCTGCAGTTACATTTGAAGATCTCTTCAGTCTCACACAATTGTCACAGGATTGTTCCTCTTCATGTTGCAGTATTGTACTTTTTTTGTCATTTCCTAGTTGGTTTTATAAAATGAATCTAGCTGTAAAGGATTATAGGAATGCACAGAATTCAGAAAAAAAGTTAGAAAAAGTCCACCTGGTCCATCCCAACGTTGGAATAACTAAATATGATCTCACATCATTGAAACATCCCTAAGCACTTCACAGGATTTTCTCCAAAGTGTAGTGACTATCAATTTGCAGGTAAAATAAACACATTCATGTTGTGCTCTATTGGTATTTAGATAAAAGGCAAGATAAGTTATTCCTGTTTGTAAACAGACTGAAAAACACATTTCCCATTTGTAGCAAACAACGCACTGCAATCAGATTTGAATGTTTAGCTTTTATTAATATGGAAAAAATCTCCTTTGTTTCCAGTGATAAGACCCTTTTCACCTTTGAGTACAATATACTTCACCCAACAACCAAACCCAAATAAATAATGCATCAAAATCCTTATCTCTATTTCTTACCTTTGCTTATTTTAAATTAAGAAATTACTATTTGCAGACACGATTGACCACTTAACTGTCAATCATGCATCAAGTTCATAACAAATGCCACTAATTAATTGAAATGACAAGAAGGGAAGTAAACAGAATTATTTTGGAAGTGAAGCTTTGAAATGAATTCACTCTCAATATTGTTTAAAGAGAAAACTTCACTGTTTACCAATACATTAGCGTCTGCAGATACTACACAAATAAAGCATTTTTATAGATATCCCAAAGTGGATTTTTGC